AGGCTGTGTTCCAACTACAGGAGGATCACACTCCTCAGAATCCGGCCGACAGTCGAGCCTCGGGTCCAGGAGGAGCAGTGTGGTTTTGGTTCTGGTCGTGGACACTGGAGCAGATCTACTCTCTCCATCGGTGCTCGAGGTTCATGGGAGTTTGTCCAACCAGTCACATGTGTTTTGTGGATCTGGAGAAGCGTTCGACCGTGTTCCTCGTGGTGTCCTGTGGGGGGCGCTCTGGGAGTCTGGGGTCCGGTCCCTGTGTGACCGGAGCAGGAGCTGTGTTCTCTGCTGCAGTAAGTCAGACCTGTTCCCGGTGCATGTTGGACTCCGCCAGGGCTGCACCTGTCACCGGTTCTGTTCATTGTTTTTATGGACAGAGTTTGAGTCAGGGGCCGGAGGGGGTTTGGGGACCACAGGATTTCATCTCTGCTGTTTGCAGATGATGTTGTCCTGTTGGCTTCATCAGACCAGGACCTGCAGCACTGGGGCGGTTTGACCCGAGTGTGAAGCGTCTGGGATGAAGATCAACTCCTCTAAGTCTGAGGTCGTGGTTCTCGACCGGAAAAAGGCGTCTTATCCTCTTCAGGTGGAGAGTCTCTGCCTCAAGTGGAGGAGTTCAAGTATCTCGGGGTCTTGTTCTGGAGTGAGGGGAGGACGGAGCATAAGACTGACAGGTGGACAGGTGCAGCGTGAGACTGACAGGTGGACAGGTGCAGTGATGCGGTCGTGTATCGGTCGTTGTGGTGAAGAGGAGCTGAGTCGAAAGGTGAAGCTCTTGATTTACGGTCAGTCTTCGTTGCTCCTCTCACCTCTGGTCATGACTCTGGGCAGTGACCGAAAGGACGAGGTCACAGATACAAGCGACAGACATGAGTTTCCTCCGCAGGGCGACCGGCGTCTCCCTGACAGGGTGAGGAACTCGAGTCAGTTTACTCATGTCAAATGGAGCTGGTTCTGTTCACATCCAAACCAAAACTGGATTATGATCTGATTTCTGCACCTTAATGACACGAATCACAAAATCTGATCGACTGTTTATTAGAGACGCAACGATATATTCAACATAACAGATCATCAAACTAAATATAAAAATATATTTATTTATATGAAGTATTTATATTTATTTTAAAAGGATTTACATTTGCAGACTGAGACCAGGACCAGACTGAGACCAGGACCAGACTGAGACCAGGACAGCAGGACCAGGACCAGACTGAGACCAAGGACCAGACTGACCAGACCAGACTGGGACCGGGACCAGGAGAGACCAGGGACTGAGACCACTGGACCGGGACCAGACTGAGACCAGGACTGAGAGGACCAGACTGAGACCAGGACGGGACCAGGACCGAGAGACCAGGAGACCAGGACTGAGAGACCAGACTGAGACCAGGACCAGACTGAGACCAGGACCAGACTGAGACCGGGACCAGGACTAGAGCAGGACTGAGACCAGGACCAGACTGAGACCGGGACCGGGACCAGACCGGGACCAGAGTGGACTCCGATCTTTGACTCTGAGCCTCCGTGGGGTCCGAGCCTCAGCTTCGAGCTCCGGTCCTGCCGTGGGCTCTGAGACTCTGGTCTGGTCCCGGTTTCAGTCCCAGTCTCAGTCCTGATCTCACTCTCTGGGATTTTGTGTGTTTCTCTGCTCTGTTGTGTGTTTTTGTGTGTTTTTGCGTCCGTCGTGTGTGTGTTTGCGGTGGAGCGACGCCTGAGTGACAGTTGTGCGTCAGAGTGTGATGTGTGTGTGTGTGTGTGTGTGATGTGTGTGTGTGTGTGTGTGTGTGTGTGTGTGTGTGTGTGTGTGTGTGTGTGTGTGTGTGTGTGTGTGTGTGTGTGTGTGTGTGTGTGTGTGTGTGCGTTTACACTTCTCCTGCTGTGGGACAGACGTGACTCACACCGTCGCTCGTCTCTTCCATCTGAGCTTCACTGTTTTAGTTTTTCACGTGAAAAATACACGACGCACTTTTTCAGTTTAGACCCGAGACTGAAGCGTAACTGTGTTTGGTCACGTGTCCCTGTTTCCCCGGAGAAAAGAAAAGAAAAAAAATGTCCCAAGTGTCTTTATTTTTGACCAATCTGACCCTGACAACACTAAAGACAAACATAACATGGGAAAGTTCACGATTAGAGATGCAACAAAATCCAAATCTCTCTGTACGATATTTTCACGATGTACATCTCACGGAACGATATTTATTGCGATATTTTGTTGCAGCGAACAAACAAAACTGTGAATACGCGACTTTTTCTTCTTAAAATGCCTCAACAAGACTAAATCCAAAGACTTAAAAGTGTCAGAACTGTTATTTCTTTTTGTCGTCTGCACTGAAATGGAGCAAAGGATCATGGTCTATGTAGTTCTCTGTGTTTTTTTAGCTGTACATGCATCAAGAATCTCGGACTTCAGGTCATCGCGCAATTCATACTGGGAAAGATCCTCCGAAAAAGTGAGCGTCAAACCTCCATGTTTGTTTTCCCAGTGGGACGCGTCTATTGACAAAGTCGATCTTTTCAAGTCTTTTCAATCCGTGTGTCGTTCGTTCATTCATTTTTCAATATAAAACCAAAAATAAGAAAATGAAAAAAACAACAATTCCTTTTTTCAGTTTTTGATTTTGTGTTTAAATGAAAAATGGAAAAAACAGATCACAGCCGTTTTCTGTTTACGTGACGTCCGTGACTGTGATGTCGGACTGAACCAGGACTGATCCAGGTCCGAGACCAGACCGGGACTGAGACCGGGACTGAGACTGAGACCGACTGGTCCGAGTGGTTCCGTGTCATTGTCTGCGCGCTACAGGTCCGGACGGGCTGCTCCGGTCGTCCACCTCAAGAACCACGACTGGACCTGAGGTGGAAGCATCGAACTGACGCTTTCACACCAACGAAAACGAACCGAACTAAGACCTTTTGGTTCAAATGGACCAGGTCCGGGACCAGAACGGGACCAGACCAGACTGAGACCAGCCCGAGACTGAGACTAGGCCGGGACCAGACCGAGACTGAGACCAGAGCGGGACCAGACCGAGACCAGGCCGGGACCAGACCGGGAACAGACCGAGACTGAGACCAGAGCGGGACCAGACCGAGACTGAGACCAGAGCGGGACCAGACCGGAGGCTCAAAGGACCCGGTCCCGGTCTCAGTTCTGATCTCAGTCCCAGTCTGGTCCCGCTCTGGTCTCGGACCTGGATCAGTCCTGGTTCAGTCCAGCATCACAGTCACTGAAGTCACGTAAACGGAAAACAACCGTTATCTGTTTTTTCATTTTGGTTTTGGAGACAAATAATGAAGAAAACTGTTTTTGTTTTTTTTTCCATTTTCTTATTTTTGGTTTTATATTGAAAAACGAATGAACGAACGATACATGGATTTATGTCGGTGGTTTTAATTTGAAGGTGCGTGGTGATCCTGGTTTAGTCCAGATTTTAATCCAGACTCGATCAATTAAACAAATCGTGCAGTGATTTTATTATCGATCCATTGATTAAACCAAACAGGATTTAAAATGTCTAAAAACTCTGTAAAAAAAAAAAAAAAAAAAAAAAAAGCATCGTGTGAGTGAAGGAGACTCACCCGCGGAGAGGAGCTGTCCCGTGCGTCCCGTGCGTCCCGTGCGTCCCCTGCGCGAGTCCCCGGTCCCCGTCCACGCGCGCAGGTGGGTCGGCTTGTACGCTGCGTCCAGGTGCGTAAAGCGCGAGGAAGATCCACGTCAGGAGCACGCGCCGACGCATGTTTGGTCCACAGGTGAGACGCGGAGGTGCGAGGGGAGGGAGGTGGTGTCCGGATCTGAGCGTCTGTCCCCGGGTCTGGGTCTCTGGTCTCTGGGTCTCTGTGTGTGTGTGTGTCTGGGTCCCGTGTGTGTGTGTGTGTGTGTGTGTGTGTGTGTGTGTGTGTGTGTGTGTGTGTGTGTGTGTGTGTGTGTGTGTGTGTGAGCAGCAGCGCGAGGGGCCACACGGGGGGGGGGGCACGAGGAGGGCAGCGGGAGATCAGCCAATGGGAGGCGAGCAGAGGAAAAACCCAACTAATCCCCCACGGCGCAGACTCAGAGAGAAAACACTGAAAACACTGAAGACACTGAAAAGGTGAATGAGTTTGAGCAGAAACATCAGTCGTGGCTTCTGAGGGCCCGTCTTTATCACACCGGAGATTAAATCCAAACTCTGGTGGACAAAAACTTTCTAGATTTTTCTTTTATACAGTTTGTGGACAGTGTTGGGAAGGTGACTTTTAAAACGTATTCCCCTACAGATTACAGATTACACACTCCAAAATGTAGTTTGTAACGTAATCCATTAAATTACTTAAAGTGAGTAATGTAATCTGGATACTTTGGATTACTTGATTTGCTGTAGAGAAACAAAGACTAAGATACTTAACCGTAGTAAAAATATTATTGATAGAAGAGGAGGAAGCACGTCCACGCAGCATGATTTAGTCCTGTTAAATCCTGTTTTAGTCCTGGTTTAATCCTGGTTTAGATCTAGTTTAGACCTGGTTTTAGTCCTGGTTTAGATCTAGTTTAGACCTGGTTTTAGTCCTGGTTTAGATCTAGTTTAGACCTGGTTTTAGTCCTGGTTTAGATCTAGTTTAGACCTGGTTTTAGTCCTGGTTTAGATCTATTTTAGACCTGGTTTTAGTCCTGGTTTAGACCTGGTTTAGTTTCCAGCAATGAGTGGAATTACCGGAAAAAAAAAAAAATAATAATAATAAAATAAAAAATTAAAATAATGTCATGAATGAACAGGAAAATCCCTCTGTGTAATCCATTTATTTCAACAAAGTAACTGTAATCCAATTACCACTCACTGAAACAGTAACTGTAACTGAATACAGTTACTCATCATTTGTACTCTGATTACATAACTCCGGTACATGTAATCTGTTACTCCACAACACTGTATATGAGCTTTAAAAATAAACTTTTGTACATGTTTAATAGTTTTTCCGTCTTGTGTCCGGGCGGTGGCGCTGCAGCTCCGCGTGTTTCACAGAAGAAGCACCGCGCCGCAGCGTCTGAACCGAGCCGCGAACTTTCACTCATTAAACATTAAAAATCACACATTTATCAAGTCTGCGCGCTCTGAAATCACGCTGCGTTTTTCCCCTGATAAAGTCTCTGACCTTTCGGGACGTTCTGGCGGATCACAGACGTTTCAGAGCGGAGGGTTTGTGACGTTTTAGCCGCGGCGGTGTTGGGGGCTAGTTAGCTCGGTGGCTAACAGCGGCTAACAGTGTCCATTGGTTTGTACGAGCGGCGGCTAACGGGAGCTAACAGGAGCTAACAGCGGCTAACAGCGGCTAACCGTGCGTCATGGACCTGTTCGGGGACTTGCCGGAGCCGACCCAAACCTCCGGTGAGGGATAAACCGTGTTTTAATTTTTTTTTTTTTTATTGCAGACATATAACAACAAGACAAAAAAAAAAAAAAAAACAATGTATATACAGTATAAGGTGCAGATTGGATTGTTGTTGCATCAATGCAAAGTCCAGTTCACAGTTATGGCAGGAGTGAGATATGGAAAATATACATTCATACACATAAACAAACATAAAAACACATAAACAAACATAAACACACATAAACACATAAACACATATAAACACATAAACAAACATAAAACACACATAAACATAAACACATAAAACACACATAAAACACAACACAAACAAACATAAACACATAAAAACACATAAACAAACATAAAACACACAAAACACATAAAACACACATAAACAAACATAAACACACATAAACAAACATAAAAACACATAAAACACACATAAACAAACATAACATAAACACATAAACACACATAAAACACACATAAAAACACATAAACAAACACACACATAAAACACAAACAAACATAAACACATAAAAACACAAACAAACATAAACACATAAAAACACATATAAAACATAAACACATAAACACACATAAAAACACATAAATATAAACACACATAAACAAACATAAAAACACAACAACATAAACACACATAAACATACTGCAACATGGGGGTGGTTTTCAAATTAACATACAGGGGAGCAGAAGGAATGAAACCAAAACTAAACATCTGTCTGCCTCCAAAGCATGAGTCTCTTGTAAAAAATAAAAATCTGCTTGTTTCCCCTGACAAAACAAAACAAAAAAAAACCTTTCCTTTTCAAGTCATTCCTAATCCCCTGACATTAATAGATAGAAGCGAAACAGACATCGGACAAAAACAGATGCACAGACAAACAAAGAGACAAACAGACAAAAAACAAACTAACAAAAACAAGACAAAATAAACTAAATAGAAATTGGGATAAACAGTGTTGGGAAGTTTACTTTTAAAATGTATTCCCCTACAGATTACAGATTACATACCCCAAAATGTAGTTTGTAACGTAATCCATAAAATTATTTAAATTAAATTAAATAATTTATTTTTTATTATTTCCTGTTTTAGTCCTGGTTTAGACCTGGTTTTAGTCCTGGTTTAGATCTAGTTTAGACCTGGATTTAGTCCTGGTTTAGATCTAGTTTAGACCTGGATTTAGTCCTGGTTTAGATCTAGTTTAGACCTGGTTTTAGTCCTGGTTTAGATCTAGTTTAGACCTGGTTTTAGTCCTGGTATAGTCCTGGTTTAGACCTGGTCCAAAATGTGAAAACAGGAAAATACCGTCATGTAATCCATTTATTTCAACAAAGTAACTGTAATCCAATTCCCACTCACTGAAACAGTAACTGTAACTGAATACAGTTACTCATCATTTGTACTCTGATTACATAATTCTAGTACATGTAATCTGTTACTCCCCAACACTGGGGATAAACCGCACTAAACACCAACATTTCACCTCAAAATCTCACAAAAACACAGCTAATAAATCCCAGTCTTCATTAAAACTGAGATTTGAAGCGCTTGAGCTGCTGATCACGTGAATAATAAAGAGTTTTTAAAGCTTTTTCATGAAACATCTGTCAGTTTGAAGTGATCCTGTCGTTATTGTTAAATAGAGTTTAACTGTATCGCGTTAAAATGCAAAACTATGAAACGAGTGCGTAATAATTAAGGAAAATCATTCTGCACCAGGCCCATTCAGGACGAACATGAAATTATGAGTCAGTGTCGTCTCGTTTTCTTTGTGTTTTTGGTCATTTTTAATCAGGCTTTTGGTGACCAGACGTCCATATATTTACCCGGGACAGTCCCAGTTTTGTGCCTGTGTCTCCTGTCCCATTTTAATGCAGTCACCCAGTGCAATGTCCCAGGTGTCCTTGTTTTTGACCAATTTGATCCCTGCCAACAGTAAAGAAACATTGTCATTTGTTTGGGTAAAATACAGAAAACCTGTTTAAAAAACAAACAAAACACAAAGAAAACGTGACGACACTGACTCATAATTTAATGTTCGTCCTGAATGGGCCAGGTGCAGAATGATTTTCCTTAATTATTACGCACTCGTTTCATAATTTTGCATTTTAACGCGCTACAGTTAAACTGTGACACATGTTCATCATGAATGGACCGTATACAGAACAATTTTCCTTAATTTCCTTAACATTCATTTCACAGTTTTATTATTACCAACCTCCATAAACCAGGAGGCGTCCCAGTTTTTGATTTTGAAAATCTTGTCACCCTAATCATGCTTTTCTGTGTTTTACTTAAACAAATGACAGTTTATGTCTCTCTTAACAGTTGGCAGGATCAGATTGGTCAAAAATAAGGACGCCTGGGACATTTCTTGTATAAAACTGAGACAAATCCCCTTTTTTGTTTAAATCTGCTGGCACAGGGGACACAGGCTCAAAACTGGGACTGTCCCGGGGAAACAGGGACGTCTGCTCACTCAAAGCTTGGGTAAAAAGTGCTTGAAATGAAATGCTGCATCCCCAGCGGTTTTTTCCATGTGTAATTTAATATTAAGTGGAATAAAGTGTTAAAACGTCTCAAAGAAAAATGGAAATGCAATTATCGTTGTAATTAATAACATCAGAAAACCTGCAGCTCCAAATTGTAGTAGCGAGTTTTATCATTTCAGTGTGGAGAATTCAGTCACAGCTTCCGACAAACCAGCATTGGCTACTGTTGTTGTGTTGTTTGGCAAGACACTTTGCTTCACCCCACTTGAGTGTGTAAAATGTGTCGTGTGAGAGATTCATAGTGGTCAGGCAGCTCTTTGATGCAGTGTGGCCAAGACTTAAATAAAAGAATCAATTTTTATTAATTTTTATTTAGAATTTTTTTATTTTTATATTTCATATTTCCTTTTTAATTTATTTAATTAAAATTTTAATTAAATTAAATTAATAATATTTTTATTTTATTATTTATTTTTTACTATTATTTGTTTAAATTATTTATTTTTTATTTTATTATTTTATTTAATTTTATTATATTATATATATATTTATTTTTTATTTTTATATAATGTTTTCGTTTTTATTAAAGACAAAAAAACCAAAACTCTTTCAGTCTTAATTTCCTGAACGTAAACAATACCCAATATTAAAGCTGCATTGTGTAACTTTTCTTGTGGAGATGTTATTACTTTGTCTAGATTGTTCCACAGTGTCGTTTTAAACCTTTCTATCTCCATGGAGACCGAACCAGACCAAGTTCCAGGTCAGATCTGTGGAGAGGCGACGCCGCTCACAGTCAGAATGTTTGATTTTCGAGTGATTTTTTTTTTTTACGGTAAAACCACCTGTGATTGAAGAAACATAAAGTAGAGCTGTTTAATGTCACACTGTGGAACATTTCCGGCAGAGAAATTACATATATACAAACTCCAACCAAAAAGTTACACAGTGCAGCTTTTAAATGCCACTTAAAACAAAAAATAGTCCTAATTTCTCTCTCGTTTTTCAGGATTCAAATGTGAAGAAATCACTCAATCAGACTGAATATTTTGGTGAATCTTGTCTCGTTTTCCAGCCCCGCTTCAAACCAAAGACGGGAGCCAGAACGGCGGGACCCAGGACGGCGCCCGCAAGCGTAAACCGAGCTCGGGCGACGACGACGACGAGGAGGAGGAGGAGGGGGAGGTGACGAAGAGGCTCTGCACAGAAGGTTCTCCGCTCACCAATGTTTGTCTCCTTTGGTGCTGCAGGATTGTGCGTGTGTGTGGGCTCTGGTTAAACCGGGTCTGGTGCTGGTCTGGTTCTAGGTCTGCCCGCCGTGCCCGCCGTGCCCGGTGTGCCCGTTGTGCCCGTGCTCAGGGGGTACGTGGCGGCGCGCAGAGGAGAGAGAGACGAGATGCAGGACGCCCACGTGCTTCTCCCGGACATGACTGATCTGCTCAGCACGAAACCAAAATCTGTGTAAGAAATATTTACTTTTAAATCAGATTTAATCAACAAAAAGGACCTTTCAGAGACCCTGGTTTAGTCCTTGTTTAGTCCTGGTTTATAACTGGTTTAGTCTCGGTTTAGTCTCTGTTTAGTCCTTGTTTAGTCCTGGTTTATAACTGGTTTAGTCCTTGTTTAGTCCTGATTCAGTCCTGGTTTAGTCTCGGTTTAGTCTCTGTTTAGTCCTGGTTTAGTGCTGGTTTAGTCTCTGTTTAGTCCTGGCTTAGTTCTGGCCCAGTCCTGGTTGTAGTCCTGGTTGTAGTCCTGGTTGTAGTCCTGCTTCAGTCCTGCTTTAGAACTGGTTTAGAACTGGTTTAGTCCTTGTTTAGTCCTGGTTTAGTCCTGCTTCAGTCCTGGTTTAGTCCTGCTTCAGTCCTGGTTTAGACCTGGTTTAGACCTGATTCAGTCCTGCTTTAGTCCTGGTTTAGAATGGGTTCAGTCCTGTTTTTTTTTCTCCTTTCTTATTTATATATATATGTATATATATATATATATTTTTTTTTGTGTGTGCAAATACAACAGCACTAAAGAACCAAAACTTAATTTATTTTATTTATTTTTTTGTTTCCTTTTGTTTTTTGTTTGTGTGTGTCTCTGTTGTGTGTTTGTCTTTTAAGTCTTGTTAAATACTCTCAAAATGATCCAAATTCTACATAAAACCAAATAAATCTGTGTGTTGTCGTGCGCGTGACCAGAGTCGGTGAGTTCTCTCTGTTTCGTTTTAGCTCTCGTCTGTCGTACTTCGCCGTGTTTGACGGACACGGAGGAGCTCGAGCTTCAAGATTCGCTGCAGAAAACCTCCACCTGAACCTCGCCAAGAAGTTCCCCACAGGTCAGCCACACCTTCACTTTCACTTTCACTTTCTCTTTCGGAGTATGAAGTCATTTGCCACGTTTACATGAGAGCTTTAATTCTGAATAAAAATTAATTCCGCTTTAAAAAGTCCATGTAAACACTTATTCCGATTTTAAAGCCGAGTGAATTTCTTCCTGGATCATGTTTCTGGTTTATTCTTGTTAAAAATAATGCTGGTGCTTCGGTGTGTGTTCGTTGTGTCGCCGTCGATCCGGTTCCACCAGTCTTGTCTTGGGACTTTGATCCACGTCTCTTTGGATTTGTGAGAGGGATGTGGGAGTGGGCTGAGGTTTTGTCTTCTTCCTCCTTTCCCCGACACTCTTCGCTTCTCCTGAGCTCATAGCAGAGGGTACGGGCACATAGTCGCTGAAACGGGCGGGTTTTAACGTTCTGGAATTTTACGGGCGGGTAGTAATCACACACGGGGACTAAACCAGGACTAAACCAGGACTACACCAGGACTAATCTTGGACTTGAGAAAGTGCGATCGAGCGACGGCGTGTGTGTGGGGATCTGCTCCGGTCCTTTTGCCTGCGGTCACCTGACGGACTACACGGGCGCACCTCTGAGCCTGTCCTGACACTGAGTCCTGTTTAAGTCCTGTTTTAGTCCTGTTTTAGTCCTGTTTTAGTCCTGTTTTAGTCCTGGTTCAGTCCTGGTTTAGTCCTGGTTTAGTCCTGGTTTAGTCCTGGTTTAGTCCTGGTTCAGTCCTGGTTTAGTCCTGGTTTAGTCCTGGTTTAGTCCTTTAGTCCTGGTTCAGTCCTGGTTTAGTCCTGGTTTAGTCCTGGTTTAGTCCTGGTTTAGTCCTGCTTTAGTCCCGCTTTAGTCCTGGTTTAGACCTGGTTTAGTCCTGGTTTAGTCCTGGTTTAGTCCTGGTTTAGACCTGGTTTAGTCCTGGTTTAGTCTTGGTTTAGACCTGTTTTAGACCTAATATAATCCTGGTTTAGTCCTGGTTTAGTCCCGGTTTAGTCCTGTTTTAGTCCTGTTTTAGACCTGGTTTAGACCTGGTTTAGTCCTGGTTTAGACCTGGTTTAGTCCTGGTTTAGTCCTGTTTTAGTCCTGGTTTAGTCCTGGTTTAGTCCTGGTTTAGTCCTGGTTTAGTCCTGGTTTAGTCCTGTTTTAGTCCTGGTTTAGTCCTGGTTTAGTCCTGGTTTAGACCTGGTTTTAGTCCTGGTTTAGTCCTGGTTTAGACCTGTTTTAGTCCTGGTTTAGTCCTGGTTTAGTCCTGGTTTAGTCCTGGTTTAGACCTGTTTTAGACCTGTTTTAGACCTGGTTTAGTCCCGCTTTAGTCCTGGTTTAGTCCTGGTTTAGACCTAATATAGTCCTGGTTTAGTCCCGCTTTAGTCCTGGTTTGGTCCTGTTTTAGTCCTGGTTTAGTCCTGTTTTAGTCCTGTTTTAGTCCTGGTTTAGACCTGGTTTAGTTTAGTCCTGGTTTAGTCCTGGTTTAGACCTGGTTTAGTCCTGGTTTAGTCCTGGTTTAGACCTGGTTTAGTCCTGGTTTAGACCTGGTTTAGTCCTGTTTTACACTGCGGTGAAAGTTTGGATGGTGTTTGATGACAGAAAAGTCGGGAGCAGCTGAAGTGTTTGTTTTCAGTCAGAACTTTTCCCCAGACGCTCAGACACATTAAATAAAAAAGATTTAACCAGTTTAACACGGAAACACCAGTTCAGAATTATTATTTCCATGGAGAATATTTGAATTTAAGATTTAAACCCGTCATGTGATCGTGGTGTGTGTTCTGTCGTGTGTTCTGTCGTGTGTTCTGTTGTGTGTTCTGTCATGTGATCGTGGTGTGTGTCCTGTCGTGATGTTTGCTCGTGTGTGTTTCAGGAGAGTCTGAGAACCTGGAGAAGCTCATCAAGAAAAGTCTGATGGACACGTTTAAACAGACGGACGAGGAGTTTCTGAAGAAAGCCTCCAGCCAGTCAGAACTTTCACTAAATATTTGATTTGATTATAATATTTTCATGAATGTGTCTGAGTTTGAGCAGAGTCCAGGTCTTTTCTCACAGAGACGCCGGTGTTTTGTGTTTTCAGGAAACCGTCGTGGAAGGACGGATCCACCGCCACCTGCGCCCTGGTGGTGGACGACACTGTGTACGTGGCCAACCTGGGAGACAGCAGTGCTACTGGTACTACTACTACTACTACTACTACTACTACTACTACTACTGCTACTACTAATACTAATACTAGTACTGCTGCTACTACTACACAAACACAAACTTTGTGCCAACTGCAAGGAAGCTACAGATTGAAAAAGCAGCTAATCCCCAGTTTACACCAAAGTGT